GTTCGGGGCTTTTCTTTGTTCACAGGCCGTTTGTCCTTGGATTGAGCCTCTTGGGAGGCGGTGTCTTGTGCCACGACCCCCTCGGCGTTGCCAATCCGCATGATGGGATTGTTGAACAAAGGAGGGGGGTGGCGGGAAATGGACAACATTTCCCCCGAAATAAGGTTAGAGGGGTGCCTGAGGAATGAAGGCACCTGAGCTCATCGCCATATTTTGGACGAAGGCTACGAAAGTGGCCTGAAGATTGATGGTTGGAGCCAGAGGGGGAACTTGGTTCTCACTCCGATCCTTCCTTCGATTATCAAGGCCGATGCGGGCATCGGGGGCCGCCTTCTGCAGCTGCTGACGGAGGTCAGTAGTGGCCTGCTCCAATTCGAGGATATTACCACCCTCGGGTACCAAGAGCCTATTGGAGGCTTCGGCCTCGTTGGTGTCGCCGGGGGCTACGTGGTTCTCCTCGAGGGTCTTGGACGGACCACGAGTTCTTCCCATTTTTGGTAGGTGTTTTTGTGTTTGGCGAAGGGGAGGGTTTCTTACTTGATTGTTCGGACCTCTCAACGAGAGCACCAAACGATGGACAGTGTACCCTGAGGGTAGCTTATCCGAGGGGTTATTATGAGAATAACCTAGAGAGAAGTCAGAGCAAACAAGTAGGAGAGAGAGGCGATTGTATTAATGAACTCGAGATGTTCTGGTCCTTTACAATGGAAAAAGGGGTGATATTTATAGTACTAATAAATGCGATGAGAGTACACATGGCGATAATCTAACGGCCGAGGGGTCACCTTAATCGGGTGGCACTGGCATTCGTATGTGCACCGCATTGAATGCGGTGGGTGGATGTGACGTCGCATTAAATGCGGTGGTTGCTTGTCTCCAAAGGGAATCTTCGATGATTGAGTTTTTGGCCGAAGGCTCCCCTTCGGCTGAAGGTTCTGTGTAGCTGGGGACGTCGTATAGCTGAAGGCTCCCCTGATGCCGAAGGCTCCATGTGTGTGCCGAAGGCTCCTGGTAGCCGAGGGCTACCGCTTTGCGCCGTTTTCTTCCAGTAGCTCTGCGTGCTCGAATCTGGCTGCCCTGTGTATTTTGGAGCCTTCGGCCAAGGAGACCGAAGGCACCCCAGTGCGTATTTTGGGCTTCTTTGAGACTTGGGCCGCCGTATTTGGGCTTCGAATGTTCCTTGGGCTCAATGGGCCTGTGTAGGAGAAGTAGGAGTCTATGGGCCGGGGGTTCCCGGGCCATATACTCCATCAGTAGAACTTGATCAAATAAAATAATAAACTTAAGAAACCGAATCAAATCAAACTAAATTGAACCTAATAATTTTTACTTTGGTAAACCGAACTTCAAACCGAACCGAAACCAAACCGAAATACAAATGATTTTAGTTTGGTACAAATTCTCCGAAACTGAAACTGAAGAAAACCGAACTGTAAATCGAATTGCCCACCCCTATGTGCAACAATGCAAGGTTAGGTGGTGATGAAACAGTTAGTAACACAAGAGGGGGGGGGGGGTGAATTGTGTGTGTGTGGAACAGTGGCCGTTTTTTTTTTTGTGAAGTTCTACTGTTCTAGTATGAGACAGAGGGTGAAAAATAATAAATAAGTACGCAAAGATTTAATGGGGAAAAATCTCTTGGCTCAAAGGGATTAAAAAACCTCGATCGATCTCCCTCGGAGGGATTTTAAACAACTTCACTAAAGCCTTGAAATGGTTATAAGATAAACTCTACTAGTCTACCCTTGAGTCACCCCAACTCTATCATCTCTAGGATGAGTTATGCATATCTACCTTGCGGGTAGAGAGGCTCGACTTTACAACAAAGCTTCTCATAACACACGTACCAACCCAGAGGATGCTATCAATCGTTCAATCTTGAAAACCCCATTACATAGAGAAGAAGTAAAGAAATTATATCTAGAACTCCAACGTGAGCTGTTCAAGGTGCTTAAACTTCTATGATTCTTCAATAAAAACTTCTCTATATATCTCTGCCTTAGTCAAGCACACTCTTTTCTTCCTTTTGATCTCAACGTGAAGGGGAGTAGGGGGTTCGACGATGTTTTGGCCCGGCGAAGGGCGGGAGCAGATTACGCTTGGGCCCGCAAGGGCCACGGCTTCGTTAAATTCCGAATCGGTAAGTGCCACTGCTGGAATCTTCCGCGTATATTCAGAAGAAAGAAAGAAAGAAATGGGTCTCTACCCCGTCTTCATCGACGGGGATTTTGGGACGAATCAGAGTGTTTTCGCCATCTGGGAAGACCTGATGAACGGGAACAGAGTTTGAAGAAGACATGAAAACTGACCTGAGGAAGAAATGGGGAAGATTGGAGGAATCCTTCGAGACCTAGGGTTCCTCAAAGGGCGCACAGAGCATTCACACGAAGAGAGTTGGCGTGGAGAGGTTCAATTCAAAAGGAGAATCGGGTTTTAAAGAGGATCAAGAGTTAGGGCTCAAAAGCGAAAACCGCTTGGGAAGACCGCATCAAGGGACTCGAGGAGTCGGGAAATGGAAAAGCTGATTGAAAATTGAGCCCGAGCTGCAGGCCTACTTCGGCGCAATAATTACTGGGCAGAGCTACAGTCGCCTATAAAAGATTCGAAATTCAAAATCAATAAACCGCTTCAATTTTACTCCTCCAAAATTCAGCCCTGCTAATTTTGAGGAGTAGGGGGGCTCGTGATGGTACCATGGATTCAGCCCATGGCCCAATTACAGAATTAGACCATAAACGGGATCAGCCCTTAATGGGATCAACCTAATTACAGGATTAAGCCCATAAACGGGATCGGCCCTTAATAGGATCAGCCTAATTACAGGATTAAACCCATAAGCGGGATCAGCCTAATTACAGGATTAGCCCATAAAAGGGATCTATGATTAAAAGCCTCTTAGCACATTAGGAATTAGGCCCACGATAGGAACCCACAACCAGGCCGGGCTGGACAGCAGACCTCGAGCCTGGGCGGAGTTCTAGTGAGACCGGGATATTCCTAGGGCTTATGTGGCGAGCTATCATTCGTTGATAGATATTTGGCAACAGACAAAACTCATCTGGAGAACGGCAACTAAAAGAAGAAAGCAATCGTGTAGGAATCAAGCATCGAAGGAGTTCTATTTCGAGCAAAAATATAGTTCATTAATGAATTAATTGTATTAGATTCCTCCTAAAATACTATCTCCCAATATCTATAAATATTAGATGTAAACACCTGAGATGGGGATCCCCGATTGAATTCTGAACCGAGGCTAGACAATTGCTAGTTCATCGGAATAAAGAGTAAAACTGCCTTACGCTACCATATTATTCCCACACTTACGTATATTTAGCTCTCGTAGTTGGATTTAACTCCATCACATATATACTCCCTCCGTCCCTTAAGATTCTTCCGACTTTCGTTTTGGATCGTCCCAAAAAATTCTTCCAACTTTCCCTTTTGGATAATTTGTGAGGCTCGCATTCATTTCACCTTTTTCTTACACAACTACAATCATACATTTCCACTTTATTCCACTTCCTAAATATGCGAGCCAACTCAAGGTTGGAAGAATTTATTGGGACGGAGGGAGTACACATAAATCCAAATTTGATACAAATCTTAAATTAGATAAAAGCAATGCCCCAATAAAAGGAACTCAATCACACTTAAAAAATTATTACATTCATAATTCATAATTAGAAGTAATGATGTATTATTAAAATATAATTAATAAAAATCAATAACAATTACTCCGTATTATTTTTGAACAAATTAATAACAATTATTAATAAAAGAAATCAATGATTGATAACAAAATTAAAAAATAATTAAGCGTTGTCAATGCTTCATGGAGGCGGCCCCACCTCTCACTCATATAGGTGACCTCATCAAGTGTGTCCTGCACTTAACACACCACCCGTAAAGTCTATGACAATAATTAAGAGTGCGCTTTAGCTCAACCTCACAAAGAAATGCGGTCTAACCTTCCACACCATAGAAATGGACATTTTTCAAGGCTAGCAGAACATGCAAAACATGGGTTTTTATGCACATCCACAAAGAGGATACTTACTTCATAATAAAGGAGATCAAAAAATAATTAAAGTAAATGTTTGAAACCTCCGAATTGTAAATGGGCCATAAAAGCTTAACATTGCCATTTGGAATATTAAATGAACATTAAAATATAGAGATATTACCCAAAATGGGACTAAAAAAGTTTGAAAATTCCAAAATAGGACTTCCATGTTTTTATTCCCAAAATAGGACTAATTACTGTCATGTTTTGGCAGTACCAGACTTCAAACATGGCAGTATTTTCCAAATTTGGCAGTAATTAGTCCTATTTTGAGAATAAAAACATGACAGTCCTATTTTGGAATTTTCAAACTTTTTTAGTCCCATTTCGGGAACTTTCCCTAAAATATATATTTTATCCTAAAGTACAAAAATATGTAATTATTAGAGTTGATTAAAATATACTCCGTATAATATTAGATTAGATAAGGTCTTTTTGAGGTTTCACAAATTTTCTCATAAAATGATGTAATGTTTTATTCATTTGAAATATCCTCAAAATTTCCTACACAAAGTTCTCCCTGACTAAAATATGAGTAGTTATGTTTTTTCGATAAAAACATGACTAATTATTATGTATGAATAATTGAACAAGATAAATTATAGTGTATTTTGAATGATAAATTGCAGATAGAATGATGAATTGTGTCATTTTAAGAATAAATTATTTTTTGTCTTTTAAATTTAGTATAGTAATATTATTATGGAAAAGTCCTATCCCAAAATACCGAGTATAATATATTTCAGGGAAAAGGTGCAAATAGGTCCATGTACTAACAAAAAAAGGTCAAATAAGCCCTTATTTAAGAGGCTCTGTCCGGCCGTCGCCATTTGGCGTGGTTTCCAGTGGAATTTTTTGATGAAATTTTTTGAACATCTTATTCGTCAAGTCTAGTTTACTGATGCGAAATTTCAACTAAAACTTCTATCGGAAAGGGCATTCAAACTAATTTTCAAAATAACCGTATAGTCAGAAGAAGCCCAGTTATCTTCCTTCAATATACCCATTCGTGAGGGGAGATAGACTGTGAAAGAAAAGAGAGGATGAACGGGGCAGTAAAGAAGATTGCTGACGTCTCATTCAAGGCCGGCCGGACGATCGACTGGGAAGGAATGGCGAGGCTTCTGGTGTCCGATGAGGCTCGTAAGGAGTTCGCTACTCTTCGGCGTTCATTTGATGAGGTTAACTCCCAGCTTCAAACCAAGTTCAGCCAGGTCCTCCTCCAATCCTTACTCTCTAATACTATAACATACATGCTTCCTTGAATGGACATCAGGAAGTAGAACACGATATTTCGGTTATCTATTTATTTAGCTGATGAATTTCTTGTTATTTAGGGTTCTAAGGCTGTTGTTCTGAGTGATTGATTTGAGTCCGATTTTGTTCACCGGCATTTGAACTCTTTTTTTCTTAAAATTGTTATAGCTTTTTATGTTATAATCCATTTTTTACATAAGTATATCATATTTAATAACTTTCCAATGGTATCAATATTGCGTCTAAAAAATTGAAAACAAAATCTATTTTTTCTTAAATCTGCTATTAACCGATTTTTTTTAATGTTACATATGCAATGTTGGAACCATATGAAAGATCATGAAAAAGTAAATAAAAACGATTTATTGTTTAGAAAAATTGGACCATAATTGAAAATATTATAACAATTGTAAAATAAAAACGAATTGATACGTCATGTGGCAATCTAACACGGTGGGATAGAACATCACCCTCGTGGTGAACAAAACTGTTCTCGAGGTCTGAAGCAAGAAATGCTTGGAAATTGCGCCTGTTTTAATTATCAGTGAATTTAATTGATTTATGTCATGCGAATAGACTATGAGTGACTGTATTGGCTTAAAGCCTTGAAGTATTGTTGCAACCTTGGTTGGGGACATGTGGTTTATCATTTGTTTAGATGTTTTTAATCCCAGCCTTCTAATTGAATTGCAATTAGTTGTATTTCTTTGTCAGGTTGAATGCTTTGATATAATTTAATTGCAATTAGATGTTCTCTCTTTTGGTTATGAAACACTTTTTTCCTTTTAAATTGTTAAATGTTTGCTCAGCCCTGCAAATTAGATGCCAAACTATCAAGTATTCAACATTATTTGAATTTTCAGATTGCCTGTAGTATGCCTAACTTTCTAATGTTCCCTAAATGGGGATATTTGAATGATCAGAGATGCCATATCATAGCTAAGTTGGCTCTAGAATCTGCATGACCAGAGATCATTTAAGTCTTCACATGAAGTCTTAGCAGCATAAGTATATTGATCTTGCATTATTTAGGCTAACTTTTTCTATTTCTTTTGAATTGAAGTTACATTAAGTTTGAACTCAAGAATCATTCCCTTTGGAAGAAAAAAAAACTGATAAGTAATGGTTTGTATGAAATATATATGATGCCTATATAATCACTTCGATATTTCGATTGTTAAAGTGTGTTGCTATTTATAATTCGAATAAGTCAGATTTTGTTGTTGCTATGTGGTATTTCCTTTATGGCATCGGAGAGTGGAGAATTTCTGTCTCATTTTGTCTGTTAACTTTTGTAGGAACCCGAACCCATAGACTGGGAGCATTACAGGAAAGGGTTAGGTTCTCGCTTGGTGGATATGTACAAGGAAGCATATGAGAGTATGTTTCCTTTTTGTCTTTCCACTGTCTTACTATATTACAAAGTACATTGTAACTGATCTTAAACTGTAGTATTTACTATTTAGGGATTAAATAGTGCACATGCTTCACCTATCTTATAGCCTTATAGGGAATAACAGAATTTGCCTCTTCCTTGAATGTTTCCTTGAATGTATGTTTCAGTTTTGTTTGTGTTTTTGGTATTTCATATGCAAAAAGAGTTTGCTAACCCCTGAATATGTAAAAAAGGATGCCAAACCATTGACATGTATTTCATATGCCTTCATTGTACAAAAATTAAAGAAGTATACTCTGTATTATTTATTCGCTACACAAACTTTTTAATGCCACTGCATATAAAAATATGATGATTATTACATCTTCTTTTATGCCATCGTAAAAAAGTTGCCAGAGTCAACCAGCGTAATACTGTCACATTTTTTCTTGATCGATAGCCTTAATTATGTTTTGACAATGAACTTGCACTATAAATTTCATGTCACCGATCCCACCGTACTTCTGATTAAGGTAGTGGTGATGATGATGATGACCTGACCCATACTCCCGTCGGCAACTCTCTACTGTAGAGCTCTGGTCTATTCCACCAGGAGATTTGTTGTCGTTAAATTAGTACAAGTTTCTGAACTTTGATCATTTGGTTTCACAGGCATTGAAATCCCCAAATATGTGGATACAGTGACCCCCCAATATAAACCCAAGTTTGATGCCTTGGTAAGATGAATCAACATTTTCTTCACTATTATTGTTGTTAGTATTTAATACTCCGTATTATTTATTATTGTTAATAATAGGGGAATTTTGAGTTTGCACCCCACTTTTTGAATGGTATTGGACTTTGCATCTTATTCAAAAGTGATAACCCTTCTTGTGTATCTTTGTATTACTCATTGACAAGTTGTTTGTAGTTGGTAGAGCTGAAAGAAGCTGAGAAGCAATCATTGAAGGAGTCTGAAAGATTGGAAAAAGAAATAGGAGATGTGCAAGAGCTTAAGAAAAAACTCAGCACTATGACCGCAGATGAATACTTTGCAAAGCATCCTGAACTCAAGAAGAAGTTCGATGATGAAATCCGAAACGATTACTGGGGTTACTAGTTTGTCGTCTTCCCTCTTTTCTTCTTCACCAACAAGTATTGCTATACTTTCTTGATACACCAATTTTAGTTCATCATTTTGGGGCTGTTTGTTTTTCAGCGGATTCATACCAACCCGCTGCTAAAAGTAGCGGTTTGTAGTTAAAAAAGAACAGCGGATTGCTAAATCCGCCGCTATACAAATGGGACCTTTGTCTGGTTTAGAATAAGAAGTCGAGTACCTTTAACTTACTACTCCGTATTAATTTCTGGGTGTTTGAGGGTACTAATTACGAAGTGTTACGGGGTATTATAATTACAACCATTCTTGGTGTACATGTTTTTGTACCCATCAGTACACGCATGTGTCTGTGAGAGTATTTTTTGGCTGTGAAGCGCGGTCCACAGCCATAAGTTGGCTTGTTTTGTCTGTGGAAAATTTCACAGACAAAACAAACCAGCTTTTGTCTGTGGACCGCTTCACAGACAAAAAAAAAAACTCTCACAGACACATGCGTGTACTGATGGGTACAAAAACGTGTACAAAAGGAATTTTTGTTATAATTATCCTTTTCAACCCCAACACGGTGTAAATTGTGATGCATCTGCAATTCAGTTATGCTAATAAACAAAATCTTTTACCACATAATAGTATATTCTGCAATTCATAATGGCAAATATGAAATATCTATCGAGGTCATTGCTCATAGTTGTCTGCATGCTGTACGGATCAAATCCCATTTCCATTCTAGCCTTTTGGGAGTTTTGGACTTAGGCATGGAATCGGGCCCAGGCCCAGGCCCAGCCATTTCCGGTTCTAAATAAATGAAGCCTGGTACCGATCTGGTTTGTTTAGGTGCCCGTTTTGGTCCGGGTTCAAACAGTACCGGTCCTGGGTTAGGTAGACCGGTACCCAACCTTTATTTTATTTTTGGGAAAAATGGAAACTAATAATCCAACCTTTTAAAAGTTTTCTTACAATAGTCTCATCTAGGCATGGACTCGGGCCGGGCCGGGCTTGACCGGGCTTTTTGGGAGATATTTGAGGCCCGAAACTGGCCTGGTTATCCATCGAGTCCGGGCCAGGCCGGGCCTCGGGCTGATTCCTATTTTTTTTTCTAATTAACCCCTGACCCCCCCCCCCCTCTCACACTCACCCCCCAAACCACCCCAAAACACCCAACCCAACCCGTGAAAATACAGAAAAATTTGAAATAACAAAAGAAAAAAATTAAAAAAAAACGAACAGGGCTCGACCGGGCCGGGCCGGTTCCTAATTTGGGTGACCCGAGCCCGCCCAACTTAACCCTCGGGTCGGGCCTAACCGAACCGGTCTCTGGCGGGCCATCGGGCCGGTTCCAAATAGTGTCGGTTCCCGCCCATATTTTCGTTATTCAAGGATAATCCAACATTTGCATCTTATCTTCATTCGTTGTTCCCTGACCGGTTAATGACCTGCTATTTCAAGTTATTTTCTTATCTCTGCAAAATAATATCATTGTTAAAAGTGAGATTTATGGTATAATGGTTTGCAATGATAAGAAAATAACTTAGAATAACAGGTCATCAACCGGTTAGGGACCAATGAATGAAGATGTGGTGCAAATGTTGGATTATTCATGAATAACGAAAAGGTGGGACTATTGTAAGAAGACCGCTAAAATGTTGGATTATTAGTTTCCATTTTCCTTTTATTTTTTTTAAAGTAGTGGTTAGGACCAGCTGGTCTGGTCAAATTTAAGCCCGAAGCCGGGTCGGGCCGCCCGGGTCCAGTCCATCCCTATTTGGAGTGACCATTGGTTTAGATTTGACTTTAATCGGTTGAAAACTATACTATTGTACAACGTCTGAAAGTTACTCCGTATATCGAAAAAATACTCTGGTACACTTTAATTTGAAGAGTAAACTTCATGTCTAGCCGGTTTGAAAGGAACCGCCGTCCGGCCGAGGGCATTTCGGGCACTTCTCGATCAAATTTTGTGATGAATTTTTTTGAGCATGTTCTTCATTAAGTCTAGTTTATCCATACCAAATTTCAGCTCAAAATTCGATCGAGAAGGCATTCAAATCATATTTTTTGAAGTTGACTGCGTTTTATATGTATATTTTGACGCAGTCAACTTCAAAAAATGATTTGAATGCCTTCCTGATAACATTTTGACCTGAAATTTGGTATGGATAAACAAGACTTAACGAAGAACGTGCTCAAAAAATTCGATCGGGAAGTGCCCGAAATGCACTCAGCCGGATGGCGGTTCCCGTCAGGCCGGTTGGGCAATAACGGGACTCTTAATTTGAAATATACTGTTAAAATAACGATTTATTAAAGATTTTATAATTTATTTAAAAAAAGTTTTTATAATTAGATTGCTTTGTAGGATTACTTAAAATCCAGGTTCAGCCCGCAAAGCTATTCAACATGGAGCCCGTTTGGTAGCACGAAAATTGGCTGATTTGGCTGATTCTGCTGAAATTTATGAAGTTCTGGCTGTGTTGGTTGATTCTGCTGATTTAAGAAAAAAATATTTTTAAAATATATCTTATTAATAAAATAAAGAAAAGATTATATGTAAAAATGGTTAAATAGTCATCTACAGTAACTTCAGCCAATACAGTTAGAAAAGTAACTTCAACCTTACCTTTTCTGCTTATGACACAATTCAGCGCGCGAAAATAAATAAGGAGTATTATGTGTTTGGTGAAAAAATGACAAACCCAAAAATAATGTTGCCAAATCATTTTTATACTTTTCTTTTCAGATCTTCACCAAATAAGATTCGCTCGCCCTTGCAAATAAAATACGGAGTGCATGTTATTTGCATTTGAATTGTTTTGTACAAAAATCTCAATCACTCAAAAAGTCAAAATTTTATAATTTTCAGAGTAATTTGAGTTATCCTGGAATTCCAACCACTTATTTTTCTTCTTATTTTTCTCAATTTTCACAGTAATTGAAATATCACTATAAATCAATGAACGAAGTTTTGAAAAATGTTGTTGAATACTTCATCTCGAAATGATTTGTAAAGTCTATTTTTCTTTTTCAACATAATTTCATTTTATTTTTTAATCATTTAACATATCAATTTTTATGACTTGGTAAGTCGGAGAAGCTACCTTACATAAAAAGTACTTCCTCCATTCTTTTTTAGTTGCAACGGTCAACATTTCACTCTTACTAACACACATCTTTGACCGTAATTATATCTTAATCCCTATTAGTAAAAAAATTTAAAAATCGGATTTTGAAACTTTGTAATGAGATGAATTGCACAATATCTTTTTTTAAAAATAATTTTCATAAAATAATAACGTAAAATTTAGTCGAAGTAGAACCTGTGAATAATGTAAAATTCAACATGTTGCGATTAAAACGAAACGGAGGATAGTATTTTCATTTCTTCTACTTTAAAAAACTGATTTTTAAAGTGGGTTAGGAGAAAATGTTTAGAGCATCTTCAATGCTAAAACGTTAACAAGTCATACGTGGCATGAGAAATAATCAATTAAAAAACGATAAATAGAATATCTCTCTCCTTATTTGAAGGATCTTACATCATTTTGGTAAGTTTTTCTTCACAATGTCAAGCACAATGTCTAGATGTAGACATTGTGGTTGACATTGCAGACAAAAAGTTACCAAAAACACATAAGACCATGGAAAGAAGGAGAGAGAAATGTCATACAATCAATATTTTGTATCTTTCTCTCATGCCACATGTGCACCGTACATATTGTAGCATTGGAGATGCTCTTAGTAATGATCAAAATGTCAAACACTTTGTGGTCTGATGGCATCACTGCTGATCTCCCAATGAGGAGGTCGTAGGTTCGAGTTACATCTCAATCAAGGATGTTGGAATTAGCATATACTACCTCCGTCCCTTATAACTTTGCCAAGTTTGACCAGCACGAAGAATAATAAAGTAAAAACTGTGTGGTTGAAGTTTGTGCAGAAGAGAGAGAAATAACAGGAACCACAAAATATTGATTAAAAGGGAAAATGACAAAGTTTTCTGGGACGTCCCAAAAAGGAAAGATGACAAAGTTTTAAGGGACGGAGAGAGTACTATAGTAGGATTAGTAGGTTTAGAAGAATGTTCCAAACAAAAAGTGATCAAAATAAAAAAAAAAAAGTAAAAGTTGAAGTGTAGTAAAAAATGTCATACTCCGTATTTTATTGAAGTACACAATGCCAGGAAAATTCTTAGTGTACACAAATTGTACACAAAATCCTTCTAGTTATCTGTGTACACAGACAATTTATTTAAAATGGGCAAAACTTGAGTCAAAATGGTAAATGTTTAATTATAATTCTAATATCATAAAGTCCTAGATAGAGCACATTGGTCTTAAATTGAAATTATTCAAGAAAACATTGTAGCATAATAATAGTAAAATGAACTTCGGCCGGGTCGGGTACTATCGGGTTTGATATTTTAATTCGGCAACCCTACCCATTAGGTGCGTGTTCAAACATATTTAACCCATGAATATTTTTTAAAATCAAATACCCGATTAAATAGGGTCGGGTAGGGTTAGGTCGGGCGGGTTATGCGGGTTCGGGTTATTCTTGTGCAACCCTAATACGTTGGTTGTAAAACAAAAATGATCAGTGTACACGTTTTTTTTTTGAACAAAATGTGGTGCTTTAATTTTTTTTTAATATAATTATATAAAGGCTACTGCAATGGAAATGAATAGATTCTACCAATTTGAATAAATATATATTGGGAGTTGGTAACTCCCAATCGACTGACCGTTTAAAGTTTTTATGCAGTACTTATCATATTAATCTTCTTTCTATTATTGAACCTAAAATTAGTTCTACCAATTTGAATAAATATATGATGAATCTTGGT